AGATCCAGATCTACCGGCTGTGTTGACTGCAAGACTGAGTCGTTTTTAACAATTGTTTGCAGCGATGGACCACGCACATGCTTAACTTCTTACAAAAACTTGCGGAAATCTCTAGATGGGTATTTTGCCCCAAAAGAGGCACGGCTTTTTTGGACGAGGCATTCACACACAGACCGTCAGACAAGTAGGAGAAATGTACGAAAATTCCGGGTTCATATGCTGGCACACGTAATCACAGATATGTTCATTTAACTGTGCTCTACACAAATTGTGACACAAGGTTGGAGGAGTAGATGTATGGAACATCGGGAATGATTTCATAAAGACCCACATTTTATTATACCGATCGATCCACAAAAGTGATTCAGCTTTTTTTTGCATAAACAATGGGCCACATGTTGATTTTTTCTTTGAGATATATTGGAAACATCGAAAAACATGGTCGTCTATATATAAAAATAGAATCCGTTTATAAGGCTCCAAACTAATATGAAAAATTCCTATGACTCCCGACTTGTTGCCTTAGCAATCGCAATATTATTTCCCAGACTTCCCTTCAATGTCTCAAATGGAAACAAATACACATTGACTTTCCAAGTTCTTCAATGGGAGATGGTAACGATGACAAGTACCAAAATTTTAGCCATGGATTTATTTCACGGATTTGCGATGTCATTCGAGTTTCTAACTTGAGGAGTACACTAAGATTACGACATGCCATGTGTAATAAATCAATCGATTGATCCAAGCAATGCCGGCGATAAAAACTTTCTTAGTATGGTCTGATATTGATTTTAATCGAGCACAGTTCAATGTTATTTGCCTTTTGCCAATTTGTCAATTAGTTACCATAGACGATGAGGATGATTTCTTATAAGAAGCATCCGACTGACAATACTCTGGCGCTGTTTGATTAGATCAATGACTTTAATGTGCAAACGTTCAGGGTAAAGAACGGATGCTAAATCCAGGAGATCCAAATGCAGCTTTTTATCTTTGCGCTCAGACTGATCTCGCATATTGATGCACTCTAGAATCAGTCATCGAGCGCGTTTCCTTAAGACACATCCCTGCTTTGCAAATGCCTGGTTCAGTAGAGTATACATATGGCTTCGAAAATTGTTCTCTCACGCTTCTTGCAAGTAAATCGTTGATAACGTATCGAACAAAATGAATTGTTACGGATTGAAAAATGTGACCAGATGCCAGCCCATCCATCACATTCATTTACATACCGGAAAATAAACATTTTTCTCTTACACGGCACTTTTTACTTTTGCATGTCTTGGGATTTTAAAGCCGCCTCTTAAATTTTCATTGTTGTATTTTCTTGTTTTAATGGTATATATATTAAGTAAAAAAATGTTATCTATTTTCCTTTTATCTTGTTTAAGGCAGTGTTTTTCATGTGAAAGTTTTTTAAAAATTTTCTTGTTTTTTCTGGCATTATGTTGTGCCAGATTTCGGTGAAAAATTTTCATATAAAATATTTGATGTACGTTGTAGTCAGCCTTTTATTTTTGTTTTTGCTTTTTTTTTTTCTTACGTGTTAGTTGAAATGTTTAACATGCATTTGATTTGATTTAATAGGATTTTTGTTTTTCATTTTGTTTTTAATTGCTGTTATGTGTGGATTAGTGGCTGTTTATAAACTAACACATAATTAAAAAAAAATTTTCTTTCACTTACGGTATTTTCTCTTATGAATACATGTTGGAGTTTACATTGCATTTTGTACAACAAATACAAAAGCAATAACGCACACTCGTGTAACATTTACACAAGGTTTAGCAGATTTAAAATAATTGCTTTTAATAGCAAAAATAATTACATTTTTTATATCCAGTGTAGAAGATTAGATCGGTTTTATTACTCCGCAACTTGCAACATGCTGATGTGTAGAGTTTTCAATAGAGATTTTTGATTAAAATTCCATTTCGGTCACGAAAATTTTACGTGCTCTTGCGCCACATTGTGCCTATAAATCCAACAATTAGACATCTTTGGACACAATTCAATTCGTTAAACATCGTTAATAATATTATCAGGAAATTAATAAGCGGAAGTACAAAGATCGAAAAATGTGACGATGATGATCTGAATTTGAATGTGAAATGTCATTTCGCAACGAACTCGGCACAAAGGCATGAGATTATGCGACCACAAGTCACCGAATAATGCCGAATGATGATTACGAGCATTCCAGTAGTGTTTCGTGTGTATTCGTTGCCCAAAGTCTAACAAACTACTCCTTCTAATGCGATGGGTGCTGAAGTCCGAGAAGTGTGTGGATTGGAATCTTAGTACGGTTAAAGGGAGTGCATAATTGGTGAAAGCATAACAAAGCATAACATTTACCGATTGGACACACACCCATACAAAAAACACAAATTTCTAAGAAACATTTACACCAAAAATTTCGAAGAAAAATTGACACCACTATGCTGCGGCCGTTTCCTATTTATTTCTCTTTTTTCGCTTCTTGCTGATCATCACCCTCGGGCATTTGGGCGCCGTCCTCTGAATGAGTGATCACGAAAATAGGAATTTTTGCAAGTAGGATGCTTTGCAGTCACCATTTGTGATGGAACTCCAATATATTCACTTTAAGAAATCAATCAGTTTCCAGTCATTCTGCAGAAGACTTTACTGAAGTCAATTTGACAGCATTGGAAAAAAACCTTGCGAGTGCAAGAAAGTAACTCCGGCCAATGGTCTTGAATAATAGAATTTAGCATTTTAGTCCAGCTAATTGTTTATTACGATTTAATGAATTCAATTACCTCACGCGTAGCATTAAACTTAGATACACAGTAGCTCAGTAAAGTGTACATACAGTGTGAAGCATTAAGCATTGAAGCATGAAGCATTTTTATGTATGCATCGTATGTGGCCAAATTTTTATGCAAATACTTGAACAATTAAGGTTTCCCTTATAAAAAACTGCATTTATTGGTTGACAGTGAAAACATATGTTTCTCAAAAAAACAAAAACTTGTATTAAATAAGATCATTTTCTGACTTAAGGGAAAGTTATAAAGAAGAAATAGATCTCAATTGCAAGAAAATATCATAAGAAAGTGTCATTCAGTTTATTTCACAGGTAGTCTAATATACTGTTTGCGCATAAAGTTAAAAAACTATTATTCCAGTGGACCGCGTTTACCAGCTAGCTAACTACTTGTGTATGCCTTGGTATTGAAGAAACCAAACAAATGAGATCCTCTTTGTTAGAAAGTTTATATTTTCGAACGCATCTGTACTCAGCTCCGGCGATTGGGGAGAAAAATGTAATTGTTTGAGAATGTTTTAAAGTAGCCCCTCCTTTACAATCAGAGATATATGATTCGGATCGTTGTCCGGCTGGTAGATTTGTTTGCCCAGAAGAGCCATTTTAGATGCAGAAGCCTTCAAATTGGTTTTCAACAGATTAAGAAAAACGTAACGCCCGATTTTACTATGAATAGAGAAGAAGTCCAGTCCAGCCGCAAATATGCATGCGCAGATCATGACAGATCCTCCGTCTATTATAAATATTGGATTGCCATCGCAGCGTATTAGATTTTCTCCATACTCTTTGTTTACCATCGTACCTGAATATATTAAAGTTAGACTCGCCACTAAAACTTTTTTTTTTTCAAAAATCCATATCATCAGTTTTGCAGAGTTTTGCAAGCTCGAGGCTCATTTCGCTTATAAACAGTTTTTTTCTTGGAATGCGGCTATGGACCTCGTTCGAATGGTCTCGGGATGTATTCTAAGTGGCTTATATTTTTCTAGGCCTCCACAGCACTAGATTTGTGTAAATATGTAACAACTCTGATAATACTTCGTTTTTCACGCTCTCTAAGTTTGTTTGGTTGGCCTGATCGTACTTGTATTTGTTTACAATAGTTTGAATAGGAGCGCGACTAATTCCGTACGATTTTTCCCCACTTCTTAACTTTATAAGCACTTTTGTAATCTCCTGAAAAATGTCTTTGCATTTTTGTATATATTGTGGTATTTTAAGAATTAAGAAACCAGTTTTAACTGATAAGCTATTGTATAAATGTACGAAAACGGGAGAAAAAAAAACTAGATACCGTTAACTAAAGGTGCCTTTTTTCGATATTTCTAGTGATGTGTTTTCATTTTTTTGCGATATTTTTTTGGGATTCAAATATACTCTTTGCTTATAAGTTTTCTTGTATTTTTTAATTAATATAAGTTTCCTTTTTTTAAAAAATATATTTTTTGACCCTCAAGTGCAGTTTTTAATAAGAGAAACTCTAATTTTTCGTACTGTATGTAAACTTTAGTGGGCTATCGTATAAGCCTTTGTAGTTGTAGATAAAGTGACGGAACTTAGCTAATCTTGTATTCAGGCAGAAAATATAGTGAGAGAAGACTTGAAAATCTTACATGTTTATCAAAGCGGATTTCCAAAATAAAAGTGACGGTTGCATCACAACTTTTGTGACTCTGTTTATTAGAATACCTCTCTACAAGTGTTGGAAAAAATATTTGTAAATTTATATTTAATTATAGCAGTTAAAATATCTCGTAATGCTTCGATTTCTGATTCTATACCGATAAATTACAGATTGCATTTGTCTTAATTATCTATTCCCACATCCCTAATAATAAATGCATTCAATTGAGTGAAGAAGCACAGGTTTATGGCTTGGTTAAAATAACATTGCCAAGCATACTTAAAAGTTCTCTTAGATTGATGAGAAAAAATTAATATTGCAAAGTATATCTTAAACGATTCAAAGCCCTATAATTGGCTCACGCACACTTACTAATGTATGTATGCTTTATTTCCCCGGATGCATAAAGATTGCTATATATATATATATGTATACATCTGTGGCAAGAACAAGCAAATAAATAAACGTTTTTTTGTTTTTTTCTTCGTTTTGTTTTTTGTTCTCACACATTTCAAATTAAAATAAGAAAAACAAAAAAAAAAAAAACAACCATTAAAAGGGAAAAAAATGAAATACTCAACTTACCTTCATTAACATGACCAGACTTTGGTAGAGTTTCTGTAGCAGTAGAGGTGGTAGTAAAATTATTCATTTTTGCCATTTGCCGTAATGCCAATGCAAAGCAAAACAAATGAGAAACGTTAAATGAAATATCCAAACAATGTGTAAAGTAAAACAGGTTAACTTCGTTATGAAGAAAAAAAGACAATGTTATTGTTTTGGTAACATAGGCACACAACACACACAAAACGACGAAAGCAGCGTACAGCCAAAGCGATACTCAAGGACGATACTAAAAAGCAGCTGCTATGATATGCATCGATGTTAATGTCGATAGACTTGTATATTTTGTATGTATAGGTAAGCACGAGTAGGTATGCACACAAAATCTCAATGAACTTAAGTTAATGCACCGCACAATTTTTTAACACAAACACACACTCTCCGGTATAGATACACACGCAAGAAAATTTTTTCCTATAGCAAGGGAAGCAAATGAATACAATGTACAGAGACTGACTTTTAGAGTTGAACTGTTGAGTTTTGTGAAATTATTTGACAGAAACTTGTTGAAGCCATTCGCAAACACACAAACAAAAAAAAAAGAGAAAAACGGAATAATTTTTGTTGATTGACGCGGGTACTTTTGCCAATGAGAAAATTACAATTGCATATGTATATAAATTTCCTGATGTGCACGATAAAAATGTAAAATGCCCATCATAACGCTAATGTACCCTTAATAATGCACTTCAAAAAATTTCATTTTAAATTATTATTCGGAATATTGCCGGACAATGCTATTTTCCAATTAAATATCAATACAAAATAATCAATTTTTTGTTTGTGGTTTTGTTTGCGCAACTTGCATTTATATAATAGTGCATGATAATACTTTTTACACAATTATATTCAATGGCGTTTTACTTTCTTTCTCATTTATCCTAAGGGCAGGTTAATAATGGCTTAGTGTAGTGTTTTTGTTATTACTTTTGTAATTACGTATATATTATTGGAAAATGAATTTAAACGATGTGGTGTGTACATGTTGTATATATATTTATATATATATATATATATATAAGGATACGCACATTTTTACAGAGTTGGTACCGTTAATAATTTGCTGTTTATTTTGTAAAAAAAGTGTATGTAATTAGTAGCAAATAAGCCTAGAACACCATTTTTATTTATATTGCTTTGCTGTAAACGCAGAATTTCATTTACTTTCACATTTTATCAAACATATCATTGTTTCTTCGTCTTCAGACATTTTATACGCTGACTTCAATTATTGGAGACTTTTCGAGCGTTAGTATTTCACAAAAAAAGTTAAGTTCAAGTATTTGCAGGCGGCTGCTAATTTTAACTAATATATTAATATACTTTTTTAAAATTTTAATAATAACAATAATATATTTTAGTTAATCAATTATATTTAGTTATCAATTATATGTGAAAGTCTTCATTGTGTGATAATAGCTTTTTCTCAGCGTTATATATATTTACGTATAATATTTTGCACAGGCTCACGCGATAAGAAACTCTAACTTTTTTGTTAAGGCTGTTAAATTCCGTATATCAGCTCGCACCATCTACCGCAATGAAAAATCTATACATCTATATATCTTCATCGTTCACAATTTTAAATACGTATTTCATTCCGCTACAAAAAGTTCCTTACCGCTTGAAGAGCAAATTTATTATTTATAAAAATTGTGATAAATAACCGTAGCAACAAATAATGCAACAACAAAATGCGGAATGAAAAAATCCCGAAAATGTTTAGGTTTATATTAAGTTCATGTAAGCAATTGCTAAAAAGTGGTGATTTACTCTCTATTTCTCTCTCTCTTTTTCAGAGAGGAATAAAATGGAATGGTCTTCTTTTTGCTACTCATAAATATATGGTAGAAGCAGAGCAAACTAAATTTCAATAACAATACCAAAAAAGCGCTAAGTAAGAAATCAATAGTTTATCAGGTTTCAGGCCTTTTCATGTACAATTCCTTTACAAGTGATTGTGGGCTTAAAGTTCATAACTCTCTTTAGTATGTTAAAAGCCTGGATTAGCTCTGCTAACAATAAGATCAATTCTAATTTTAATTTTTAATAACAATTTCTAAACATTTTACAAAACAAGCAGAAAACCGAACAACAGCTGATTCCTGGTTGTGTATAATACGCTTCTTTTATTTTCTTGATTTAATTAAACGCTTACTTTCCAACACTATTAAAAACCGAAGCAAACGGTAGAAAATCAGCTGTTATAATAAATGTCAAAACGAAAACATTTCTCGACGTTGGAAAAATCATAATTTTTGTTATCATATTTATTAATTAAATTATATATTAGTTTCATTGTGCTTAATTCAGCCATCGAATATTTAGAAATAATTTAAACCGACAATTATGGAAATGGCTAAAAGTTTATTTGGTCGGGATCATGATGGTTATGTGGGAAAGGCAGAACATACGGTAAACATCGAAACAAAATTAAATTATTTCGATTTTCAAAACTATAGCGTTTTTTAAGAAAAAACTGCAAACATTGAATTCGGAAGAAGATATGTTTGAAGAATTGCCTACGCTAATGGAAGAAGTAAATGTGATGGATGGCTTAAGACCTTCGATGTGGCCTCAAGATATACTGGCAAAATTAGGACAACCTGATGCCGAAAGCGTTGTTGGTCCTAACGATCAACCCGATCACCGTTTCGATGAATTTGGTTTTCGTGTGAAACAACCTATCATGAGATTGTGAAGGTGTCTGCAAATAATCAACTTATGACGTCTAAACAAATTGAAAAGGATTTATTACGTATACTGCCTACTAATGCCTGCTTCAGCAATCAAAATGGTACTGGTGCACCTAGGTTGTGTCGAATTCTTCGCGGTATAGCCTGGCTTTATCCTGAAATTGTCAGGGTACGTGTGTAATAGTAGCTTGTCTCTTATTATTTATGGAAGAAGAAAATGCTTTTTGGATGATGGCCACAATAGTTGAGGATTTATTACCCGCCTCTTATTATTCTTCAACTTTGTTAGGCATCCAAGCCGACCAACGAGTAATGCAAACTCTTATAGCCAATTATTAAACGGCTGTAGATGAAACATTAAGAAGACATGACATTGAAAGGTCATTGATAACATTGCATTGGTTTCTAACTCTCTTTGCAGGGTGGCTTAGTTGATAATCCCGAGGCTGTTCCCAATCTGCCTAAGCAACATTTGGCGCGTCGTCAAGTACGCAAAAGTAAATCAATTTTAGAGACATTACTCTTCCGCGGTGACAATGCACTGAACTGAAAAATGAAAATATTCGACAAACCGAGATTTTAGTAGATTTACGAGAAGCGATTCTAAAAGTTGCAAGACATTTTATTACCATAGAACCCAAGCTGACCAAGCACTCACTCACATGCTAAAGATCATGAGAATTTCATAATGTTGCCCGTACTCGAAAACGAAGAGCTAAGGCTTTACATGATTTTGAAAGGCACGATGATGACGAATTGGGCAATTATTCAATTCCTACAACTGCTTTGTTCATTAAATTAATTTTATAACGGAGAAAGAGACATTAAGCATATAAGCACGGTTTTCCACCTTGAGGTAGGCGCCATAAATACATGGTTAAATTCCCTGTTAAAAGGCAAAGCACAGAGTCGCTTTTAATAAATAAATGGTTAAATGCCCAACAACAAAAATGTTAACACCAATGTTAAATGCCCAACTGAACAGATCAAAGATAATCGATTCTGTTAAATGCAAAGCCGTCTGGCGAGAGCAGAGAAACCAGAAAGATAGAAGAGAAAAAAACTAAGGAGAAACTAATGAACAAAACCACTCAAGAACAGTACTGAAATTCCTCTCAGAGTATTCAAAAAATTAGGTAAAACCGATAAGAGTAAGTTTTCATGTTAAATTTAACATTTTTTGCGAATAATTTTAAATAAATATGCTCTACTTTTTATGTACACGGATAATTTCCTTTTGGACTCGTTTAAAGATTTTGGAAAAATACAAATTCACTATCAATGAAAAAATTCAAATTAAAAATAAATGATTTGTCTTAAGTTGCTTAAGTCATCATAGTAGTTGTTATTATATAATATTTATATTAAACATTAGGCAAAAGTTTAGAAAGTGTTTTTCTCTTTATCTCTAGCGATGAGCCGATAGCCTGTTTTGCTAGAGCTCAATGTATTTTTTTAGTCTAAGAATTTATTTCATTAGTCTAAAATTAAAATATAATTATTATTATTATTATTATTATTAATTTCGCCACAGAAATAAATTCTAAGACTAAACTCTTAAAAGCACTAGCATCTAAGGCTATCGGCTTTTATTAAAAACTCTACCGCACTTGAGATTCGAAAAAAAAATTAAAATAATAATAATAATAATAAAAATATCTCTAGCGATAAATTTATTCATTTGAAATGTTTTTAAAAAAATCCAAACTTGTTTAGGATTTTATTTATATTCACCACATATCCTTCAAAAGCTTTTTAATTTATTTCTACAATTTCTACAATTAATTAGCCAAAAACTGACTTTGGAAAATTTAAGTAGAATTAAAATTTACCATTAACAAACGCTGAAAGACTTAGATGCCAGTCCTTTCAGACTTTAGTCTTAGAATTTATTCTCTGGCTAAATATGAAAATAATAATAATACCATTAACACACTTCATGAACTTGAAAGGCGTACGTAACCATTGTTTAAAAGTGTAAGTTTAGTAATGATTGCTTACTGAGCTGCATTTCATGTAAAGTATCGTAAGTATAGAAGTATCTTACGTTACATATGTATACGGTAATTTAATTTTTTTATTATAATAAACATTTTTCGCGTTTTAATTTATCGAAATAATTTTTTAAACGTCCACAATTTGGCTATTTAACACATTTTAATTTAAAAAAGATTTTTTTAAAGAATTTAAAGTTCATGCAACTCTGCAAAATGAAAATAGGTAAGAGCATTTTTTTTTTACTCAAGGTTCAATAAAAAAATCATCGATTGGCGAATAATCGCAGGAGCTCACTGCTCACTATTGCCGTGTTAAATTTTTTATGTAATCAATCGCTCTACTAGGTATAGATGGTTAAAATTTTGAAAAGAAAAAGCAACTTCAGTAAAAGTTGTTTCAATAATATTAAACGCTTTTTCTGTTTATAAAAACGCATTGTAGACAATACTATTTTGACTAAAAGTGTATATTTTTATATGTATTAAGGAGAGTGTCAGTAGTTAGAGGAAACAAATGCGGGAGAAAATTGGAATAAAGCTCAAATAATTTAAAATTCAATTATTCTTACATAGAACAAAATCATAATGTAGAAATATACTTAATAAATTTTATTAAAAGTAATTACATTGTTAGCTTATGTCTAGACATTATTTAAATGTTTTATAATAAATTTTTTGAAATTTAACTTCTTGCTTATTATAAGTTCTACCAAGTCTTTTTATTTTTCTCACGGCTCTTAGACGGCACACAAACCATTTTTATCATCTTTGTTTGGCTGTTGACATAAGTGATTACTACGGTCAGGCAGCATTATTATACGTCATCATTAACGAGTTTTAAGCCCAAGATGTCAAGTTAACATTTAGTAATGTTAAAAATTTTAAGTATTTCGCCTTTTTTTACGTAAGGGGTGGGAATAGACATTGAAGCATGCAGCTAAAAAGAAAACGTTTTTAAAACGTGTTTTTTTTTAAAAACATAATTTCCTATCAATCATGCTTGTGGAAGAACATAACGATGAAATCACACATGAGGTTGCGAAATTGTGGTACTCACATTTTCCGGATATGTACGTCAGACCCTTTTTGGGCGTTAGTGTTATTAGACTTTTTGCAGTAAGCGGTAGTTTAAGTTATAGGCAATTTCATGCGACTTACGGCAGTTTGAATATCGAATGGAATATGTTTTAGCATTTTGCCCTAATTTGATGAGCTTTGTCCCCACTCCAGTGCGTTTGTTGCCTTTGTTACCCTTTCGATTTTTGTAACTGTGGATTCTGATATACACGCTTGTTAAGCAATTGAAATGTCCTCTTGTGTATTTCGTAATGGAAAGAGCTGAATAAGGGCGCAATATTTTGCGAAAGATCCCGTAGAAAGAAATTTTGAATTGCTTTCAAGTTATCATATTCTGGGTTGATAAGAGTTATTTCAACATTTTTACCATATAAAACTACTAGGTTGTGTGCAAAATTTTTAATTTACTTTACATAAACGTTAATTTATGTAACGTTGCTTGTATTATTACTTGCCTTCTCCAAATGCGAATTAAGATTTTTGTCCTACACATAATCAAGCGTCTGGTCGCTTCGGGCCGCTAAAGGAAATATGTGAAAACGCCATCGGTAACGCATATCTATGGTAAAGGATCTACCGGTATGGTTCACAAAAGCGACGAACTTGAGTTTACGTATGTTTTCCAGTCGTATAAGATGGAGGTAGTAACTGGAACAACAAAATGGTTTAAGGACTTGTACATAAATCCAATGAGTAAGAGACAAAGTCCTACCATTGTCTCTAATCCATAAATAGGCGAATAATGGTATGTACTTGTACAGTACGCTCGTTCGTTAACTAGCAGATTAAAATAGTTCTCAAACCCGTCGAATTCAAATATGACACAGGTGCGAAGTTGCCCATTGCAAGTATCCCAAATTTTTGTCTTTGCTAAAAAATGGAATATCTTCTCACTTTTTTCGCGCCTCTACTAAGGTAACTGATAATTGAACGACATTGAAAAAATAAAAAATGGTGGGAAAAAGTAAACAAAAACCGAAAATTTAAGCATAAGTAAAAAATGAAATCATATTTAATGCTATAAAAAATTAAAAAAAAAATTTATTGTTACTATTTAGTCTACAGTGCGTGCATGTATACAATTGACGAAAATTTAGAATATACAAAGTGTGTCAAGTATGTGCGTGCGTGTGTGCAGATTTTTGATATGGCTGAGAGGATGCCGAAGCCTCTCAGAAAGACTTAATTTCGTTACTATTTCTTTTTTTATCATCTCCAAAATCGCGCCAAAGATGCGCTGGCCATATACATGAGACATTAAATTAATTATACAAAATTGTGCATTGCATTGTTTTCGTGTTTGTGAAGTAACTGTGCATGGCAGCTAATGGAAATAACTTAGATTTTTTTGCTTTGTGATCGTATTTAACGGTTTAGTTTGTTTTATATGGAGTTGCTTCGAATGCTTTTTAATGTTAATATGTTTTATGTTAATATTTATTTTATATTTATTTAACTGAACAAAGACATTTTTAGGAAAGGCATAGATTTAATTACCCCAACCACCGATATTATTGCAGATACCTTCATTGCTAGTTAATGCTAGATATTTTTTTAAGTTTGTCAACTCCAAAAGAAAAATCTCCTCGCATGTTTTTTTCGCTCGCATGTTTCTTTCAATGGTTCTCAGTGCTCTGATGATATTCAAGCCTCGAATCTATTTGTCGAATACTTCCCACGAAATTTATCAGCGACAAATTCCGATTCAGCTTCAAACTGACATAAATAATTTGTTTACATGGTGCTCGATAATTTTTGTGCAATGAAATCTAAGAAAATGCAAGCGGCTTTCTTTCTTAAGGAGAAAGTCATGCAGTACTGAGTATTTCATTCACTGATACAAGTTGGAAAACGTTGTTTCTCCCTTGCCTCTTTGTTAAAATAGATTGCTTCTATTATTCTTACCACCACTTGAGAAACGTAGATTTATTCTTCGTGTCTCCTTCCTAATTAATGGTGCTATCGATTCGTCCACAATACTTAGTGAGATAAGCTTTGATGTCGCTAACCGCTTCTCTAGGCATTTCATGTCCATTAAGCTAAGTCAATGCACACATAATTATGAGCTTTTTAAGCCGTTTAGAGTTATTTGTAGAAATCTAAACGAAGTCTAGCCCTTAACCTCAATATCGGATCCTTTAAAGTCGGTCAAAACGACTTTGCTTAATACGCGCGATTTGCCTATCTCGTATTTAAACTAACTTGCAATCCTAATCTCTCGCTATGGTTCGAAAATTATTGTTGTTGCTTACTGCGATCCGTTGTCAAGCTTTTGCGTGTTTGCAATGGCTTAGGGGTTCATTTGCAACATGGTTCTCTACTGGTTGTGGGTGTGCCTCTGTGCTAGTTGTGTAGATGCTTGTTTTCTTTTTTTTTTCTCCTTCTTATTGATTTATACGTGAATTATTATTTAATTATTATTATTTATTTATTTATTTTTTTCTTCACTTCTCCTTATATACTTTATACTAGTGTTTAATATTAATTAGTATAAGATTTGCTTCTAAGAGTCGATTGAATTCGATTGTTAATTTTTAGTTGAGTTTCATGTGTAAGTAAACAAAATATATAAATAAAAATAATATTACGCTAATAAGAAAGTATAATTCGTCATTCGATATTAAGCAAAAACGAGGCGAATTTGTCATGAATAGACATATTTATAGTTGCTTCGCTTTAATAACAAACAGTCCTCGGATAATTAAAAGAAAAAATATAATTGGAAATATTATTGTAGATAACGTAAATGTAGCAGACAGGGAACTCCAATGTAAAGTTATAAACCTATTGAAGTTTCCAAAATTAATGAAGCCGAGCGCTGCTTCTAGTCGGTGGCAATCTTTATTTTGACAATTCCGCTTAGTCGATAATGGGAAAGCTAGTTCGATTCTACATCCAAGACTTTTCTGCTCTTTGCATCCACCACCGACGGATAGAAATATATTCATTTTATCCAAAGGTTTATAACACCCAGAAACAATCTTCAGACACCATGTTTGTCTGTCCGTCTGTCTCCGTAATGTCTGTGATAAACATTCACAAAATGAAGCCATCTGCTCCAAATTCGGTCGAAGCAATGGAAGTTCTTGCACGTAACTAAGTTTTGAAAATGGGCCGAACCGGTGAAGGATATGCCCACAATACAAAGTTATCTAAGTTATACAGCTCTGTTTCTACAAAACAAAAAACAAGCAAAGGATTTGAGATTTGGATCAAATCTTTATTCAATGCATTGTTTGGACTTTACCTTTATTAATGGAATTCAATTCATACATATTCACATAGCCTGCAGGAAATGTTAAAAGTTATTTCGAAAACAGTGAATTCACGGTTCCCTTCCACGCATGTGGGCTGAAGCTCATATATGATTAAATAGCTTCCTAAACAAAGATTATTGCTGATGTTCGTAAACAATTTTTACGTACAGAAATATAACGTTTGGGTGTAATTTGCGGGATCAAAGTGTTGCTTGGATAAACTTTATCTTTCACCTTTTTCCTCTCATTAAACGATATTGTTAAAGAAAATTAATCTGTCACGTCGTGACGTCGACCATAGTTAATTTAGAAATAACGCACTTACTTTTTCGCATTGTACTCTCCAAGCCCTTTTTTGATAAGGATGGTGTTTTTAAGAAAATGTTTATCCATCAAATCGTGGTGTTTGCCATATTTATATTATAGTTAGCGCATTTGAGAGATTTACAAAATAATTTTAAACCATTTTAGTTTGTTTATACGTGTTTATTATTAATAAACGTCATAAAACGTCAAAAAAGTGAAAAAAGAATATTTAATCACTTGCAACTTTGTGTGGGCATGGCCGTTTTATTCGATTTTTGCACACAAATACAAAGTACAAACTCTCGCGAAACATATGTGGAAATCTTCAGTCTTCACCTTTTGGCAATTTGTGATTAACCAGCAAAAACTCACAAATTGTTTCTTCTAGGAAAACGGAGTTACGTTCAGTTTTCGATTTACTACGAGTGTGTGTTCCGATCAATTTGTCCCATTTTCAATACCAACCCACCTGGAAAGACTTCCAGTGCTTATAGCAAATTTAAAGTCGATATCTTAATGCGATCAGGAAAGCGTCAAAAACAGGTAGCACATAAGCGAACAGGCAGCACACGCGGACAGACGAACAGACATAGTTTAATCAACTTCGTGCAGATCAAGAATATATGTACTCTACAGGGTTTCTATGAAGCTTTATTTCGGACGTTGCAAGCATTATGACAAAATGACTGCATCCCCATCCTTCAATGGTGGGTATAAGAAAAGAAAACATTTGTTTGATCACTCTATACATAAATACATTCTGTGTGTCCGCTTGTCAATTTCTAATTTGTGTGGTAAACACTTTCCTGATCGCAAATGGTAAGCCGTCAACTTCGAAGCAAGCGCACAATGCGACATGGACTGAGAACAGATCTTTTGTCAGAAGCGAAACAAAAGTAGTTTTGTTCATCACTCATAAAATAGAACAATAACGATTCGTTCATTCTATTCTAAGATAAAGTAATGTTAGCGGGTTTTGAACCCCAGTCGAATATAATTTTCTCCACCTTTCAAGAGAAACATGCCGAAGGTCCAGAAAAGAACCCAGGTTTCTACGTACGATAAACGTGTTCCTTTAGAAATAGCGATATAATAAGATATAATAAGTAAGAATTTTGTAAATCTAATTCGAGCTAGTCACCAGTCTAAGTCCGGCATGGAAGATGGTGTCGAAGTTAGACCGAAGTTGTCCAAGTCAAACTGATAGCGGAGCATATTACAATTAAGAATACGTTGGTCGTGTTCTTCTTTTTTTCACGTCTCGTTTATGCAGTTCCCAAGGGAAGTGTGTAGAGCATTTTGCCATAAAGCGGGTTAAATTTTCTCTACATTGGGAAAAGTGCTTTCACGTTTAAGCAAAATTACTGACTGACTGTCACTGGTATTCACAAGTGAATATCGTTAATTGGTTAAAACGCTTTCCGTTAACATGATTCAATAAGAGTTTTCCCTGGAACTTAATTACGAAATGTATAGCGAACAAAAGCCGCTAATATGCGATCTTTATAACAAAGTCTTTTAATTTGTCCCTATATACATTATATTTTTATTTTAAATACAATCTCATATGCCGTTCTCTCATTTAAATTGTTGTTATTATGTTTTTGCGATAGAGTACACAATTCTATGAAGTGAAAATCAAAAAAAATCACTCAACTTTAACGCAGGTATTAAACAGGTTAGTTAGTTAAGAACTCAATTAGCTCAAACGAGTGTAAACGTAGGTGAATGGTGAGCGACTGATCGGCTTTCAAATGAAAAAAAAAAAAAAAAACCAAAATAGAAAAACAAAAAACAGCAAAAGTAAAACAACTTACGAGTCAAATTACAAACTGAAAAGTAAACGCAAACAAATTGCGCTCCATACGTGTAAGCAAGCCTTTGGCAAAGATGCGATCAACAAGTTTTAGTATTACCAAGTAAATGAGCGTAAAGTGAAGTGAAAACTCGTAGAGCAGAGACTGTTAGTATGAATAATTGTAAATACAAATTTAAAAATAAAAAATCGAAAATAAAGCAAAAAACATGAAATGAACAAATATGAAAATTATTGCCAAAGTAAAGCAAGAAATGAATCCGCTGAAGATAGCATAACAAAAAGTTTTTTAATCGTGCAGAAAAGAAATTCCTGACCATTAAAACCAGTTTTGCTATATCGAGTTAAGGTTAACGTAACCAGTTATAATAAAAGTAACAAAAGTCTGCCTAAAACCATTTAAAATAAGTTGGGAAGAAGACGCATGAGAAGTGTGAGTCATCATCGTCACTTTATTAACCAAACATTCAATCAATTCAGTTATTAGGTGTTTTTAAATGATGCAGCAGCACCTAAGTGAATAAGGAAAAGAAGAACAAAAATAAGAAAACAAACAAACAAACAAACAGTTATTGTATTTATATTGTCAACGAGTTTTCTCAGACCTTTCGTAGTTTTCATGAGAAAGTGTCAAACTTCTTATGATTTGTTTCAACAAAAAGTGTTTTTGTAATTTAATTACACGTCAAGTGCAATAAATAAACAAAACGGCCGCTTAGTGTAAACAGATATTTACCGGAATTATTGAGAATTTCAAAACAAAAGTAACAAGAAAACAATGTTTAGGATCAATTTTCACAAGTGTTTCTTTGGTAGTCTCCTTTGTTATCAGTTAAACGAGTCTGCGACCAGAGCCCTTGCTTTGATTTTAAAGGGGCGGGAATGCTTTAACAAAACTTGTCACCCCTTTGAGGAGTTTTGTTCAACGTTTGCCGAGAGTTGCATGCAATGCTCGCAAATATGCAACGAAACAACACCAGATTATCAGGCTGACTTATGTGTGAAAGAATGTTTCAGTAAGTTTTCTTTTTTTACCTCTAACTCTAATTAGATAGAGAAATTTATGCGTTTTTTTTTTTTTTTCAATATTCGTACGTAACGTAAATTATATAAGTAGCCTACACCAAGTCGTACTTATTCATATGAACAACACGCAGACAGACAGACAAACTTAGATCATTTCTGAAAGTGAATCTGGTTCGAACCAGACATCCGCATACACCCGCGCAAACTTAAATATCCCGTACCGTGCTATACAACAAGTAATATGGGGTACAAAAGAACCGGTTAATTTAATACGTCTGTCAAATTGTAAGTTCACTTGCATAACATTCTATTTAAGACGTTCTTAAGGTGACTTGTAGACGCAAATTGTAAACTAATGTTTGCAATGTTATGAGATTTCACGCTGGCAGTACCTAAAAATTATAAGTGTTCGTTAATAGCCATTCTATATTTGTACGCCATCCTACGAATTTATTGAGGAATGTATTGTGTTCGCCAATTTTCCTACTGTAAATGCAAACTACGCGGCCAGTAATTCTAGATGGCTTTGGACATGAAAATATAGTTAATGAAAGTATAAATAATGCACAACTCGTTCGGATTCTCAAGAATTTCAAAATGCTTGAAACATTTTTGTTGATAGCTTAAATTTCAAGCAGACCAGGCTTTTTTTTTTGTTACGAAATAGTTAAGCATAGAGATTTTCGAGATAGGAGCAAAGAAATGCCTTAACTTACCCTTTCTTTCTTTATTCCACGCCCTTTGCATGGTTAATGTTCGGCGAATCTTCACCTCAATGTATCTGTTTCTTTAGTACCATTTTTGAACTGAACGTAGAAGCGATTCTAAGCGATTCTGGGTCACAGGTTTTTCAAAAATATCTTCATCTTCATGGGAACGCAAATTATAGACGAAATAATAAAAAAATTGACAATGTCTTCGAAGATTGTCCTAGTTTCTTCTGAATTGTGGATGTATGTGTGAACAGATCATACCCATTTTTTTACATCGTATTTTTAATCGGTCGACGAATGTTTGTGACAGATGTCAGCTGCCCTTTTTCCTTGTTGCGACTGTGACGACTCACCCAATTTAAATATCAATTTAACGGATTGTCATAAATCTATTCTAAATCTATAAGTCTCGTATTTCATTTATTGCACTCTCTGACCGATCTTTTTTGTTCCCCTTATTTTTACCCACAAAATGCAATGCAGAACAAAGAGGAGTTAAAAAATAAATACAGTACTTCCTAACCTAGGTGCACCTAGGTATGCATAAAAAATGCATAAAAAATAGGAACGCAGTTATGGCTACCAGAGAACAGAGTCATCATTATTGATCTTTCGCTGCCTTGATTTGGACTATTTCGACAAAGATAAATGATGTTTCAATGAGATGGTAAAACATATCACATTTCTGTAGTATTGTCATATTGGTCAAAATGAAGATAGAAATCTGAAACATGCCTAACGTAGGCAAGAATTGTTGTTTCACATTCGCCTGCAACTTGCGAGATATTTCCCAAAAGACTGCTACACATACATTCGCTGGGGCCATCTATAAAAATAGTAGCAATCAATTATTAATATGTTTACAGCTAACAATAAATTTTGTTCATTTGTTCATTCATTTCCAAGTTACTCCAATTGGGTAAAAAGCGTGCTGCCGAAAACAGTAGCAGTAGAAATTAAACCGATTCCCAAGGGTTGAAAAAACTACAAAAGAATGCTTGGGAAGGAAGAAATTACCTTTGGAACCTTTCGATTTTGAAATAAATGGCTAAGACACTATGTCGCTTATATTCGTATGACTGATAATATTGATAATATTGATAACAATAGATTCGTTACTAGTTACGTACAGTTTTCTTACCTGGTTTTGCATATTACGTCAGAGCATTGTTAAGTTTTTGAATACAAATTTTTCTTATTGTTTATTGAAAATGATGTCAGTTAGAGTTCTTCTAAATAGCTGAAAGTTATATATTTCTACTTTATATCTCTATGAGTTCTATAGAATTTTCGCGAAAACAGATAAAAAGACGTATGCACGTCAAGAAGTTATCAAGTCAAGATAACAGACGTACACGTTTGTCACTAACTTGTGTGTTTGTAAATATATCATATTTTATTTTGTTTAAAAAATTTATTTATTATAATAATAAAATTTTTGAAATTTTTTTCAAATTCGACGTTACGGTAATATTTTTTCGTTAATCCTCAGTGGTTAAGTAAACACTTTGCCACTCTTTCATAAAACTTTGGAGTAAGCATCAGAGAGAGTGGAATTTTTTCTCGACTAGGAAAGCTATTCGCTTGCCTCTGGTAAAAAAGGAATGAAAGAAGTTTGAAAGCAACGACGAATTGTTATTTAGCTCGGGTGGCTCGATCGTAGTAAAAGTAAAATCTTCAAGTGCTGTTACGAGAGACGTGACCTGTCAAAACGCCCTTGCATTAAAAAAGTTTACGTTCATATTCGAGGCTTGTGTAATTAAATTGCGCAAATTGAAATAGAAAGCAAAGATCGGCCAATCAACACGCCTGCGTGTAGTACTGATTTTCGTTCGACTGGCAAACATTTCAATAATGAAGTTCTATGTTCGATCCAGAAAAGGCAGTCTTTTGTTAATAAACGTGATTATTATTAAGTCATCAAAAATCCTCTACGTATTTAAAAGTTATTTTAAAAATATTGTAAAAAATTCGATTGAAAAGATTAGAAATGGTTGGACTTACACTGCATGCGTTTTAGACAATCGCGTTTTGAGAAAGGCGTATTTAAAGTTTGAAGTACCGATTTGCTGCTCTATGGTTTTGTTCGGGAAACCAATTTCTGGGACAACCCAAAGTTTTGCCATGCCCAATAGTCCTTTTATATTGCCTTTAATGGCTCAAGGAATTCCTTAGGAGCATGAGCAGCCTGATGAATAAGAATCGCGACTACAAAGTCTGTTCAAATCTCAAGCCCGGTAGATTGTACTTTGGTCGTAGCTATAGCGAGTGCTCAGTTTGTAAATGTCTAGCACTTACCGATTGATCATAGTCATAGGATTCGGGGCTACCGCTTTCCTATCTCTTTCTACTTCTAACCTTCATCTCCTGAGTGATTGGTCCATATTAACAAAAAGCGAATATATTTAAGTTTTAGATATTTATAAATTTGAAGGAAGAGAATGGGCGAAGATAGGCTATTCGACATTTCCCTAGCATTGAACAGTGAACTCTTTTAGAAAATGTTTATGGGAAAAAGAGTAGGCGAAGTCGATTTGATATTCTTAACGTTTTCTTAACTTTTTTGTGGCTCTGTATGAATCACAAAACATTTACATTTAATTACTTTTGAATCTATAATTTATTCCGAGTTTATTTAGCTTATTAAGAACAAAAACAAAAATATAAAATATTTGCAACTTAGCAAGTTTGCAAATGTCTGCAGTTTCGACATTCGACGTATTGTATACGTATATACACTAAGTATACTTTATGTGAAATAAGTGCGTACGAAGGTTCATACCTCTTTTTATATCTGCTACCAAAGAATGGGGACATCTTAGAAATGCTCATATTAGATCACCTAATTATATCCGCTATTGATCATCCGCTCTTGAATCGATCAAAACGTTTGCTGTCTCCTTCGTGCGACCACCGGCGTGTTGAAATTGTGTTCGAAGTCTTTGCAAATGTTCTTATCACGAGTATGTCAGTGTTGCTTGGGTACATTGGTGGAACAAAGCTAGGGCCAATGTCAGAGTATATAGTAGTGCTGCCGTTTCTTTTGTGAATTTCTTCGAAAATTTTTCTTCCAACATAGGATATGTGCGTTCTTCTCCGGCAGCCACGGATTTGAGTGCTATGTCAGTTTGCGCATTTCGCAAGGAATCAATATGGCCCAGTAACCGGAAAGTTTTAATTTAACTTTTGTAAGTAGCGACGGTTCTCCTTAGCTTAACGCTGTTCCTGTTGGAATTTTTGGGGTTTTGCAATAGCTTTTATGGCCAGTAGTCTATTTAACGTGATAACTTTTTGGAGTTTGATTTTGAGAGCAATGCTCGTGGTTTGAAGAATAAATCTTACTTCAGTTGTAAATGTTGAAGCACTTTCTCCTGGTTTATGATTAACTAGGGCTTGTCTTATTGCATTGTTTTCGAAAATGCGAGTTTTTTTTGTAATGAATTCCCTAAGGAGGTGATTTAGTTGGCGTGTATTCTTTCTTGTAAGCTGACAGTGAAATATGACAGGAGTTGACTATTGAAGCACACGGAGCTTTGTGTTAAAATTTTCGATAGACGTTTAGGAGGACGGTTATTTCGTTTGCGACATATATATAGATGTTCTTTGTGAACAGTAATCTTTTGTTTTTAGTAATAAAAGCATCTTTAAGGTGTTTAGCGCGAAATAAATTGCTGAAGTTGAGAAGAGCTTTTACTCATAAATTCTAATTTCTAAAGTTAAAAGAGTCCTGATGGATGTCTCTTAGTTTTCATGATGAATAGTTTTTAGAATATGTACGTTTGTATGTTTGTCAGACATTGTCGATTTTGCTCAAAACAAGCATTTCGTTAAGAAAGTCAGTGGTATTTACACATATGAAACTTTTCCCCTACATGTCTTTCCGCCAAGAGTTCGCTCCTAGGACTATAACAAAAATGTTAAGGGTAAAATTGGGGGAACCGTACAATTGATTTAACTCTTTTTTAACTGTTCTTTTTTTTATCTGAAGATAAGATAACCGTACCTCGTGCGTTTAAGGGTTCTCAGGCTTAAATGAGTAAGCTTCTAATGTAATCTAGTGCAAGCCAACTTTAAGAGAGAAATATTGTTTCATATTTTGTATCATGGTAATATAATGAAATAACGTTTCTTGCTATCAAGCTGTATGTGTTGCAGCTACACAGATTAAAAGGTGCATGGGCCTAAAGGAGTAAATCAAATATGTTTTAAAGCGAGCATAAACGATTTCATTTTTGGTTATGTGGTGTCTTTAGGAAGGATTGTATGATTGGTTGCTTTCAAATTTTTCTTTACATACTTCAAATTAATCAATAAATTAACTCAACATATGAGTGTTGACCTTTTAAGTAGTCATTCTTTCTACACAGTTTAATGTTATCAAACCTGAATATATATTTATGTACAACATTTTATAAATATGATTCATATCTTAGCCACCTTTATTTAGCACAATTATTTCTATTTACACAGAAGAAGAGCTGATACGAAGTTAACTATAATATAAAGCCAAGAATAAAACAAAATAAGAAAACTATATTCGGTTGCGAGCGAATCTCTTACATCCATCACCATTACGCTCTAAAAAATTGAAGGAATTTGGGTGGGCGTGGTTGATTTTTTCGATTTTTGCGGAATAATTCCGTGGAAATTTATATCGCGTATCTGTTGTAGATTATCAGAGATGAGCGAAAAACATGGCATCAAAGATATTTTTGGGTTTGGCTTTATGGACGGTATAGGAATTGTAGGCATGTTCTTTGAACTGTTTGGCCATTTTCATAATCTTTTGCAATTTTGTAGGCGGTATTTTTTTTGTTTTGCGATCAAGAGAATATGTACCACAGATACTGCACCGATGGGTAGACGCATAGATGGATAGACAGATATGAATAAGTGCATGAATAGGTGAAATTGGGCAAGAATTTATATACTTTATAGGGTTTTTGAAAAAAAACAAGTTTTGATACATTATAATATTGGGTAGGTGCGGTAAATTTTTCCCCAAGTGCTCCAGCATTGATATGGTTTATGAGTAATAACCAAAAAAACAGAGGTGTTCTCAATGTATGTGGTTGTATAGAATATATATAATTTATGTGTCTGAAATTTCTATCCGGGCGTTGCAAACGTTTCGAGAAAATGGATATACCACTCCTCATTCGGTGATAGGTATGGAAGATAATAGAGATTTTATGAATAAGAAAATAAAGCAATTAAAAGCAATTGAATGACTGATGTTTTTGTCATTTTTCCCTCTTTGTTATCCTACTTTGCAGACTATAACGTATTGCAATTGGAGCCGCTTAAGCTTGATATACAAAGGATACAAATACAACAACATGTTATTTTAATCCTTTTAATACTACTCTTCGTATTATGCGGCGTACGTTACCTTTGGAAGTGCTTGCTTTGGATAAAACATAAACATTGTGTACCACAGTTGGTTAAAAAACTACGACCGAGAAAATCTGAATTAACAACAACACAAAATGGCAAGGATCTCGGTGGTACAACAATACAAAACATGTGCGCTATACAGAATGAAGTGGATAGAGCGCCGTCGCAAATTTTCAGTGTAACCGGTAAATACAAAAATATTCCGTTTTGTTGTCGAGAGTGTCAAGGTTTTTACAATTCTTTATTATTATTTTCATGTGTTATTATTTAGCTGCCGAAGGTTCCGTCATGACCATGACAACACCAATTAGTTCACGTTATCCCGCTGAGAATACAACACCAACTACCGAGTATACGTATGATAATCAAGCTTTGGCCGTGACGCCTGTTTCTGAGAAGCCAACCAGTTCGGGTGTCATGTAAATGAATTTTCTCATTTTTAGAACTTAAGTTGTTTTTCTTTTCATATTTGAGAAAAACATTTTAAAAATGTTTTTGGTATATTATAAACTATGACATATGTGTCTACTTAGAATTGAAGAAACCCGTCTCTAGGGAACATCACTGTCTTATACTATAAGTAAAAGATATTAAAGAACGCAATTTTTTTATTTTTATTTTTTTCATATATTTATATAAGTTAAGAACGTCTCCGTAATGATTGATTAAGACCTAATTTGTGCTCTGTAATCATTGGGTAAATAAACATTTTTTTTAAGAATGTTTGCTTGTCAAATATTAATTCATTTTTAATCAGAAAGCATAATAAGCAAGCTAATTACTAATTTAATTAGTAAGAGAGAACAGTAAACGAGAACAGCTTGAAACTATGCCGAGCGACAAAGCGTTTTAAAGATCATTGTAAGTGTGATTTTAGTGTCAACTTAAAACAGCAAGGCGGTTAATGCTTTAATATACAGTAAAAGCTCCTTATTTGCGCTTCCTTTATTCGCGGTTTCACTATTCGCGGATTAAAAAAATGCGACCCAATTCCCGTATTCGCGGCTATAAATTTCTTTATTCGCGGATTTTTTGTGACTGGTTCCGGAATTGTTTTGTTTCTGAAGTTGAAACTTATTTAGAAAAACCAGAATTTAGACTTTGAAGCACTTCTAGTTTTGAACAATGCGCCAGGTTATCCTCGGGAGCTTGAAACTATGCATCCAAACATAAAAATCAAATTTTTACCTACCAATATGACGGCTTTGCTTCAACCTATGGGCCAAGGAATAATCCAGTCCTTTAAGCTCCATTACATTAGACGAATCTTCAAAATCATATTGGATAATATGGAATGTAATCCTGATATGAATGTCATGGACAGCAGGAAGAAATTTGACGTAGCAAAATGCACCGTAAACATAAAAGAATTATTGAAAGAACTGAAGCCATACACATTAAAGTCATACTGAAAGAAACTGTGGCCTGCTCTGACTGTGGAAAATGACGCAGGATCTGTGCAGCTTCAAACTTTGACTGCAAACATAGCCGAAATCGCGAATGGAATAGGACGAGATGGGTTCGAACAGATAAAATCAAGTGACGTTCAGAAATTGCCTGAATCGCAAGATGAAGATTTGACTGAAACCGACTTGGAGGAAATGTTAAACGCACAGCCCATTGAAGGAGAGGCTTCAACAAGCACTGGAAACGTGGCATTTAATTTGAAAAGTCTTAGTGAAGGTTTAAGAATGGTAAATGAGCTCTGCGATTTCTTTATGAACATTGATCCGTCTATGGAACGAAATCTTACTTTTAAGAGGCAAATTGCTAATGCGACTGCTGTGTATCAGTCTGAATTGAAGGAGCTTTTGAAAACTGCCAAGCAAGAGAAAATTACGAAATCCACCAAACCATTGTCTAAGTCTTAAGTAAATTAATCAAAAACTTCAAAAACTTCAATTAAATTGATTTTTTTATATATCTGAATTTGTTTTAATTTGTCACTTAGGAACGTATCCCCTATAATCCAATATAAATTAGGGTTTCTGTATTCGCGGCATTTTTATGGAACGTATACCCCGCGAATAAATAGCTTTTACCGTACTAATATCTCTGGCAATTAACTAAGGAGAAGGAGAAATATCAATAAACTTGTAAACTGCAGTGGAGTAGTTAACTAACAGTATTCATCCTACATTCCACACATCAATCTGGCAATTTCTTCCTATTCTCGAGAATCAAAGTTAACTTATTTAGGGAACAGTTTAACCCTTAAATGCAAGTATTTTTATTTTATTTTTTTTGAGGTCATCCGGGAAATGGGTGTAGTTAAATGGATAGTTCTCGCAATAAAGTCTTTTTCGGTATATGTCCACGAGATTATTACGGTAAGCTCTACTAGATGATCGATTAAGACGGAGATACCATTTGCGGCCTTTGACTCTTATACGATAACGATCTAAGTATCCATCGAGTCCAATCCTCCCATGTGCTTATTACATTGTTGCGTTGTTTTTGGACAAGAAAATTCGATCTTTTGCTTTAGCCGCTTATCATTTTGGCAGATTTTGGTTGAACAACCAAGAGGCAACCTTGTTGTGGTTTTCCCCTCCCCTTCCCATATGGTGTTCCACAAGAATCGTCGCCTTCATTAGATCCTTATTTTCCGCCAGAAAATGATGGAAAATGCTGTGATTGTTGTATATTGTATCAGCTCATCTCAATAAAAGCGTTTTTTAAGTGAAATAAATGATCAAAATACATGCAAGCACCTAATATATAAAAACATCAACTTGTAATTTAATTAAATTAATTAGTGTGAAAATTATTCAACTTCATTGTAATTATATAGTTACTAAAATAACAATACAACTATCCAAAAGAAAGAAAAAGAGAAGTATGACAATAGCAACAAGTGTTTTACAAAATAACGTAAGGATTAATGAACTTACGTAGAACCGATTTTGCATATTGATGTGTTTTTACATCACAAAAAAATACATTTTTCTCGCATAGAATTATCCGTGTGTGCAAAAGTATGAACACTATTCGTTACTGTTACCTTGTTTCTTACCTTTTTTTCACCAGGAAACAACTTTTTGTCTATGTTTTTATCACTCTTTATATAAACAATCGTAATTTGTAACACACGCCGAAATGAAATTGTATCCAGTTAGCGAGTTGGCAGTGAAACAAAGATTGCAATTGTGTGCGGAAAAAACAAACTAGTTTTGGTAAAATTAAAATGAAGAAATACGCTATGCTATGGTCGCTACATAAAAGGATGTGAGGTTTTACTTATATACTATCCAGAGCCACAAAACTATGCATGTATCGGTTAACGCTGAAAAACAATCAGCTGAAGAGATACTTAGGTTCCGTTCAGAAGAAGGTAAATATGTTATGAGAAATGTTTCGAAAAAATGGAGAATACTACGGGGATTAAAAACATAAAAAAAGTGAGAAATATATAATAAATTTTAATTTTGGGTTGTCCACAATTAAATTCCAAACGTTTCTCCTTCTTTAATATGAACAATTCTTCAAGGGATATTACTACGTGACACGGTGATGGTCAATGGCGAGAGATAAAGGCGTACGGAGTGAACACAATCTTCAGAATCCTTATTTCAACATAAGAAGTCGTATTAGCCAATCCTTGGTAAGTTAGAAGAATGAGTTTCACTTAGAAATGCAGCAACATTACGTAAACAAAACTACATGAGGGTAACAGCCGTTTACCAAGAATTGTACGTTGCCCTAACTGTATGTAGTGACGGATTTCATTATTGAAATTGGAAGTGTTTGTTATTAATATTTGCTAATAGATCTCCATCTCTTTAATTGTTGACAATTACTTTGCACTTTAATTAATTTTTTTAGCACAATTTCCTTTGCTTAACGGCTTATATCCTTTCTCTTAAAATATTTGGTTCGGTTCGATTTTTCTATTCGTCTAAGTGGAAATATAGACGCGATTGTTTATCATAACATTTTTAATTAGTTGATAATCTACTCTGTGAAAGTGGGTTTTGTGTTAACTGAATTTTAAATGCTTGGTAATGCGCATTTCCCCAATATTTTCCATTACTTTTGGCACTAAAAAGTTGCCTAAAAATGTAATTCTGATTATAAGCTTAGAATGAATTACTTTTTGAAATTCAAGTCAGTAGCATTTCAAATTGGGGATATTGTTTTCATAACACGTAGTGCTTTAAGGAAATTTCAATTTTTTCATATAAATACATTTTTTAATTACAATTTATTGTCATTTTTCTTTTTATCGAAAGTTGTAAGAAGCGAACAACAAGAGCTAAAGAGCTGCACGCGTAAGTACTTAAAATATGAGTATTTAAACAAAATGGCAAAAGCGGTCGGCATTAGCTTTAATTTACAAAATTCTCTACAACTAAATCTTAAATGCAAATATTTAAGTTATGATCAAACAAGTAAAAACACTGTAGTCGAGTAAGGCCGACCATTAAATAGCCTACACCGTTATATTCTTCATTTATTTTCCAGGTAACATACCAAAAAGTATATTTCGACGACATTTTCATTTTTCATGAAAATTCTCTTACCGAACGGGAACAATAAAGTGAAATGATGTGGCAAAAATTTATCCCATCACTTAATAAGTCTGCGATCTGATATACGCTTTTAGTAACAGTAGCTTCTTGGTCGTCTTGGAAGATTTTGATTACCGATTTGACTCTGGAGTGCAGTGATGAATCCACGTTTCATCCACTGTCGCATATCCGATGATAAGCTTTAAAGCTTCCGTCCTTTTAAAACTCATTCTTAAAGTAAGTTGTTAACAATGAGCAAACGTGGCATCCACCTCAAATAGCGCTGACTTTGGTCGAAAAACATCACACGCGTTTTTTCATAAAACGACTTTTTCGGGCCTCGTTTGAGACTGATCGTAAACTTGATTTTAAATTAGCATTTGTCTTTCGCGGTTGACATATTTGTAAGAGGCGTCATCACAACATACCGAAAATTGTGCCGCCTAGGTTAGCGCTAAATGCGCATCGATAGACGCCAGACGGACAGACAGAGAGACATGCTTAAATCGATGCAAAAAATAATTCCGAATTAGTTCCCAATAATAAAAGGATAATCTATCTAAGTCTTTCCAGATGTTGCATACATCTGCGTTAACTTAATAAAGCCTTGCCGTAGGTGGTGTAGGTTATAAGGTATTATAAAATAATTTTAAATATAAAAAAACACGCAAAATTTTCTAAACTAAAATTTTTCAAACATTCGATGAGCGTTTGTTTGATAGTTAAATGGCACAAAATATATCTACGTATGCTTACGTATGAAGATAATTACTTTTGAGCTTACTTGGCTTAAATATTAGTATAAAATTACTATAAATTAATAATCAAATCATTTTAAATAAACTGTAGGCACTTAATATTTGATATGTTTTCTTTTAAGATTTCGTTCTATTTTTCGAAATTTAAACCCAATACTGATTACGTCTTAGCAAAGGATTGCTGATGGGTGCTGATGGTGATGTGGTCGGTTGAGTACTACTACTTTGCGGTACACTAACATAACCGGCGAAGTCGGTATTCGTCTCACAGGATGAGCTCCAATTGTCATTCTCCAGTTGATAAGGATTATAACGTCGAGGCAACATCATTTGTTGCGGATCACAATGGTCATCATTTTCATCGTCATCGGGATCATAGTCGGGATATTCATGTTTATACGATTCTACGGGTATAATCTTGCAATGCGGTATATTGCTGAAACCGGATAAGGGTGTAGAGTTGCCGGTAACTGGTACCGAATCGGCTTCAGAGTTCGCGTAATGATGGTTCAAATGATGCTGGGGACTAATCGATGTTAAGTCGGGTGGACAAGGAAGCGCTGGAGGTTGATCTTTCGATATGTTTGCTTTGTGGCGTTTCAAATAACGGAATTTCAATATCAGCATAACGATTAATATTAACATCAGCACCACGATCACCGCGCACACGATAGCTATGTAATTCAAACTAAAATCGGCCGAAGCGACTGTTACCGATTCTAAATGATCATTCGACCTGCGATATATTATGTTCACTGTGGCCTGAGCAGGCTGAACAGTTTTTATATGCAACTGATAATCAAACTGATCGATGTCTTGTTCAATATTTTGCGTCGATTTATTAGGTATAAAGTACACTACACCACTACGTAGTTCTTTATAAGAAAATGTTGTTGTTGTTCGTTCTTGCTGATTGTCAACCGTTAAACCTGTGCTGCGTATAATTTTTCTAATTTGTCCTGTGCTGGGTGTCCTAGTTATTAAAAATTTAGGATTGAATTTATTTAGTTTCAGAGATAACGGATTATCGGGAACCAGAAGAGACATTAAACGAATTTTCTCCCCCTTCGGTACACCCATCATAGAAATATCCTGTATTTTAATAACTGGCTCAACTTGTACAAGCACATCAACTGTTGCCGCGTAGTTGGTGCAAGGAACATATGCGCTTACTTGAAAGGTGTCATTCGAACGGTTCAAATCCGTCTGCATATAATTGATTTGTCCCGTTTCTAATAACTGCTGATTGAACTTTAAAGTTGGTTGATGTTTCAAGACAATTATGCCATGCAAGGGGGAATTAGTTATATTGTACGACAACCTTTCAGTCTGAACGTTAGTCCTTAAACCAATATGATCGGGCCTCATAACAGCTGTAGTGGATCCCTGCTGAACACTTACAGCTATTTGTTTATCGGCCGACAATAGACTTATAGGAACAACAGTGATGGCGAAGGCTTGATAGGGCGTATTAAATTTGCCATCTGTTACAGTAAAATAAAAATTCGTAGGCTGGGGAGTCCCAAAATGCACATAAACGAGGCGATCATTGTTGATGTCAGCTTGAGAAAACTGGTTTGAATAGGCCAGCAAGTCTTCGGCTTTACCATCTTTTAATAGTTTTTTTAAAATTCCCAGGCTGGGTCCCCTTATGACGTCATAAATAATTTCCTCGGGTGAAGTATCTATATCTTCAGTTAATAGTAAGTTCCGCGTAATGGTTCGATTTTCTCCTTCTACTACCGTCATTTGTGGCATTTGTGTTACTACCTGCAAAGGCTGATCATTTACTGGATTAATCGAGACAGGTATGGTGAGATTGCAAAGAAAAATATTGCTGAAATGTAAGAAAAACATAAAGTGAATGGTTAAAATTTAACTGCCTAGGCTATATAAGGCTATTTACCCCTGCTCTAAATACACGGACATGAGAATGGTGTCCTCCAAAGTGTCGGTATGATCGTGTATATAGTACACTTTCTTAGTTAAAAAATCGCTCGGATGGAATTTTTGAAGCGTCTTAAATTCATGACCCAATCCTATTGAGCCATGACTAGGCTTCTGCAGCGACTCGATATATAGTTCAGGATTATTTATGCCAGCTCGTGTTTTCAAATATTCTAACATTTTACTAAAATCCAACTTTATTGGTACTGAAGCACCTTCGTCTACTTGCAATTTCGAGACCGGTAAAAACCTTAACAGACCACCCGAAGATACAGATATTTCGATGTTAAATTTTTGATCTAAAAGCCGATCACTACGAGCAGCTATCACATCAAAATGAAATGAATCGTTGATGCGGAATTCAATAATTACGGCGGTATGCTCATAGAAAATGCGACCACTATCGATGTCTTCCTGAGTAAACTCTGAAACTTCACGAGCAGAACCACCGCCAGTTTCCATATACTCGTTAATGATGCGCCCCAGACTGGGAGGTACTGTGACATTGTAACGTATTTCCCTTTCTTCGTCCGAGCACTTATATAGTAGATGGTCGCGTAATATTTGTTTTTTGGTTAAAGGGAAAACATGTAAATTCTCATTGCGTTCTAACATGATGTCGATGGGTTTGATGGTAATGCTCAGCAATTGATTTGTAGTATTAAACATACCGTCCGTTACTAGGAAGGAGATTTCATTACGTCTCGAATTAGAATCATGAATGAAATAGACCTCCTCGTTATTAATGTCGGCTTGAGTAAAATTATGAATTTTTTGCTGAGGTCGTAAACGCTTAGCTAAATAGCCGCCATAAATATGATTAACCAAAAAGGTTAAGTTTTCCGGAACAGTATCATAATCACGAGCCACTATAAGGAAGAGTTTACCATGTAAAGAAAATTTCATTGTATTTAAAGAAAATTTGCCTAAACTTACTTAAATCGGTATAGCGTATTATATAGCGGCCCCCATTCCACACTTGTAAGCCCGTATTAGTGACAACGATTGGTTGTTCATCATTGACCGGGATGATAGCGAATTCCAGTTCAAACGGAACGCTTTCCTTATTACGAGCAGTAGCGATTAAAGTCATTGAATCAGTAGAATTTTCACTCCCATTGTGTATGTATTGGATGGAACCTTGATCTATTTGCTTTTGAGTGAATCTCTTCACTTTAGAATTCGCCGCCATTATGTAGCCAGCTTGAGGATTTATAGTAATTATGTATTCCAATATTTTGCCTCGGTAATATTCGGAAAATGGCTGAATATCAGCAGAGTTTAGTTGAACAGTCTTACCCTCGACCACAGATATAACATTGGTGTGAATATATAATTTCTCAGGTATGATAACTATACGCAACATGAGATGCTTCAGCCAAGTAATGCCATTGGTGACATCGAATACGAAATAGTCTGTAGATTGATTCACACCGGCTTGTATGTAAAACATTTTTTCGGTGTTTATAGCAGACTGATCGAATACTTTGCAATTGTATTCATCGTCGAAAGACATTGATTGCATTTCCAAATAGCCGTGCAGTGGAGAAGATGTCACAAGAAAAGTTATATCACCTGGTGAGATGTTGGGATGCACTACCTAATATAAATATATATATATATTACTCTTTCACTAACCCTTCGTAGTCCATCATAAAGAAAAAGTAGCTTACTTCCAACACATCTCTCGATATCAAGACACTTGTGGATTCTTCCACATACAATGTCTGATTCTTCTTAACTTGCAAAGGTTCCCAATACGCTGAAGGGTATATGCGAAACATAACCTCCCCCTCAGCGGTTATATTTTTAATATGCACTCGATATCTAAATATAAGAATTTTTAAAATCTAAATATGAGAAGGGAAAGAATGAGGTTGGAAGCGCTTACCTCACTTTATCCATTGATGCTATTTCAGTATTCCAATACACTAAACGATCCCTTTCGATATCCAAATGAGTGAAATTGTTTAGTGAGGTTAAATTTGAACTTTTATATTGTAAGGGATTTGTTATATTATCTGACGATCTGGGTCTGCCCAAATACATTAGAATCCCATATGCAGGCGATTTGATCACCTCGTAGTAGATTTCATCTAATTTCATGTCTAAATTTGTTTCCAATATGAAATCTTTATTGCGTAATATTACAAATTTACCCTCTTGCACTATAGTTGCATTCGTAGGCAACATCGTCACAAATGAATCGGAAGCGTGAATTTCTAATATACCGTTTACCTCATGCTGTCTATCGGTAACAATAAACGACGATGTTCCCACGTCGGCTCCGTTATGCTGAAACATAATGCGACGATTTGATACATCTTCTTGCGTAAAACTGTCCACATAATGTCCCGACTTATAAAAGCCTCCATTCGTGCACGATATATGGATATAATGTATATCGGAATTGTTCGTATTCATATCCGTATCTAAATATTGCAAGACCTCATTGCTAAGAGTCCTTATACCGCCACGCATAACATGGAAAATTCTTTCCAAGGTACGATAAGGAGCATTATCATTAATCAGTTTAATACGCACTTCCATGTTGGCCACAAATTGCAAATCAGTTTCATTACTTGACAAAATCATCAAATCAAACGTGTCCTCAGTGGACTCGGTATCATCGTGACAATAATAAATTTCATTGAGAAATAACTCTTCTAAAGAAAACTCAGTCAATGTTAACACTTTCAGCTCATGCTCATCGTGACGACACAATATACCGTGCTCTGGTTTATGTGTAACCAAAAACTGAAGACTTTCATATATATTGAAACGTATCTCGAAATGATTTTTAGTAATTAAAGTTTTTTCGCCTTCCTGAACTTGTAAAATTTCTCGAGTTTGATATGATAGTTTATTGGCAAGCACTTCCAGAGGTGTAAACATTATTTTCAATTTACCAAAGACATCATCACATTCGGCTACAGATACGACGAACTCTAGGTAATCAACGAAACTTGAATAACAACTGCGATGTGTTTTGTAATGTATACGATTTTTATCGATATCAAACTGCGTAAAAGAATCCAATTCCTAGAAAAAAGGTGCATATAAGTGAGAGAAATTATAAACAAAATTTTAACTAATTACGTTTGCTTTGGCATTCGTTATAAATATTGTATACTTGAATTAACTATCCAGTTTTCTACATTTTGTTTCGCTTCATTATGAACGTTTCCTTTACGTAATAATTATGATGACACTAACATGAAACAAACTTAGGGGGTTTATGCTCCAATCAAGATAATGTGTAAATAAAGCCTTAGGCTCTTCAAAAAGACGGAGTAAGCTCAAATGCAATATACTCAAAAAGATTTGGAGTTCTGCTGGGTGGTTTTTAGTCAACATTTTTAGAATAAAAATATAGGAAAGAAGACTGTAATGAGCCGCAGTTCACATAAAATACCCCATACGACCTTTTCAAATAAGGCTTTGTATGGGAAGTGGTTGAAAAAGTGTTCTGATCGGAACCACTTTCATTAGTGTTTCAAGATATCTCAAAAGAACAAGATGGACAGACGGACAGATAAGCTTAGATCGGTTCAGAAATTAATTCTGAATTGATCAGTATACCAAAATGTGGATCTATCTCAAGTCTCCCTGGACGTACATCATTTACTCAATGACGGCAAAATACGATACAGAAAAACTTTTAATTTGGAGACGCGCAAGAGCAATTTTGGGTTTTAAAATGCTGTTGCTGTAAAATTGAAACGGAAAGGTTTCTTGCACGGTATTCTTGTAAGTGATGGTAATATTGAGAGATTTTCAACACTACGCCAACATGGAGGTTACCGGACACACTTTACGCTGATTCTATGTATTTGGGCAGAAGGTGTTGTGTGATCTGTAAAAGCAACGATTTTGGAATATGTAGAAGTCGGACGAGATATCGAAAGCGACAGTTGTCGACCACTTATATGCCGCAGTGATAAAGCTTGGATGTGAAATGTTGTCATCTCCATGCTACTGTTGCGATGCCGGGCAACGTTTAGTTTCTCCGATCGCCTCTAAAGGAGCGCTCCTCGGCACTTACCCGGCAAATGGTGAGACGATCTCAGTTTATGTTGTTCTGAGAGCGTGTTCTTTGACCGATGTTCAATATCAACAAGAGCTGCTTTGTTTTTTACTAAATACAAAGCCGATTTTCCTTGCAATAGGGTACACAGACAGGCCAGGCATAGACGTACGTAGACAGGCGAACATACTTAAATCGTTGTAGAACTTGATACTAATGAAGTATTTATATGCACTTTGTAATATCTATGAAGATTTCTTCTGTTAGAAAGGTCTTAGCACAATGAATATGCTCGCAGCCTTAGCTTCCGGGTTAAAAAAGAGTGTAGATTATGAATTCAAGCACCACATAAATAATTGCATGAAGCTGGCGCTTTGGAAATATTCTTTCTATTCACACTAGTCTGTTCACGGGTTACTTAGCTTACTTACCTTGGCATACTTCCTTGAACCCTCTACATAAATGTTACCATATTTTGTAGGGCTAATAATTTTGAAGATGACATTACGGGGAAACGTAACTATAGGAATTGTTTCGTATAGTAAAACTTCATTTGTTAAAATAAATTCTCTGGAGCCATTAACCGCAATCATCGATGGTTTTCGAGCATTTATCCGTAATCTCGTAAATGTAATGCGAAAGTCAAAAGTTTGCGTCGTAATGAAGCCATAAGAGGCAATAAACTTGAAATGAAATTAATTTAAAAATGCTGTACTTTATCAAGTTTTTTAATTAAGAAAGCAAAATACCTTAAAATCATCTTGCCAAGGAAAATCCTGACTGTGCACATAACGTATGTGCCCCAATAACAATTGACTATCACTAAACCAGTCCACGTTAATCCAAGTCGAGTCGACTTGTCTTAAACGTTGTATTGAACCGTATTGCGGAGGTCTAACAATTTCATAACGTATATCTATGCTGTCATCAGCCGTATTCGAACCAATGGAGAGATTAGACGGTGTTACTAATAGCGAAGATTTATGTATCATTATCAAGCCCGTGTTATTAACCAAACGTAATTCCAAAGGATGCACCGATACAGGCAGAAAAACAGTATCACTAGTTTCGATGCCATCGGAGACTTGTAGCAATAGTTGATAACTGAAAGATTCTGTTGTGGTGGCGTTGTAGAGAAAAGTCACTTTGCCCACATTGACATCAGCCTGAGAAAACGTTGTAGTTGGTTGACCATTTACTATAAAGCGTCCGTATGTTTCTTGCTGATTTGTGGATGGCAAAATCGTATAAACTAAAACGTTTGCGGGACTATCGGGATCTTGTATATTGAATAGATCAATGTCTAGAATTTTTTCAATTCCCTCCACTGCTCGTAATATTTTATTACTTGGTACTTGCAATTGCGGTGGATCGTTGATGGGCGTTATGTTAGCGTGCAACATGAAACGGTGTTTGCCTAAAATATTTTCGGGTACTTTGTGGATATCGCCATATATTTGCAGATCAAGTGTAGCGTGATCGTTGAAATTTTCCATGCCGTTGTGTACATATTTCACTTTGTCCGTCGATAAATCAACTAAATTGAAAGATCGACATATAACGAAATTATTCTTCTCGGGCGAGAACTGCAACAACTGGCCATATCGCGGTTGCTGAACTATATGAAATGCTATAGATGTTTCGGAAACACCAGTTATCTTGCGTGTATCCAATAGAACGTCCAAAATATGAGGAGATAAAAAAACTGTACCACCCTCCAATAATTGCATAGGAGAAACGTACAAAAGTTCTGTGGTGGGACTGGTTTCGGTGAATATCTAAAGCGAAGACAAAAAGGGTTATAAAATAAAGGTCCAAAAAAAATTTTTAAGAGATTTATAAGAAAAGTTTTCTTTACTTTATAAGGCCCCGGATAATCTGCCTTAATGCAATAAGATTGATCGCAGTAACAAATAAATTCATCGACACCGTATTGATTACAGAAACCGCTCTTCAAACAAGGTTCATATTCCAAACACGGGTATTTCCAAATGCAGTTTAGTGCTAGATGGTGCGATCTGTTCATTTGTGGAAAACCTAGGTATTCATTATTATATTGTATATCTCTGAGACAGCCCATGAAACTTTGATCATTTATTCGGAGGCCTTTGTGCCACAAACGTCGTCTAAAGTCTTCTTGAACACCGCCGAAGAAGACCAAGTTATCCATGTTGATGTAACCTCTGGTGTCATTAACATGTGTACTCTGATAAATAACATCATCAACTATCAGTTCTGCTACGTGGGCATTATAACGCATAACAACAAGATGCCATTTGCCATCGCTTACGCTCTCATTGGATGTCAGCTTAATAATGCTCCCGCCTTTGTTGAATTGAAATTTTAGTAATTTGTTTTCAATTTCCAGAAGAGCAAAGTCGAAGCCTCCATTGTAAAATAAAACACCCGATTCCTCCATGGTACGAAAATAAAACGTTATTCTAGACGAGAACAAGGAAAATCAGGTTTTAATTTTAATTTTTTCTTAGAAAAACCTATCAATTTTTTCAAAATTTACATTTCGCCAGTATTTTGAGACCCTTTGGCCATTAAAGCAAATGAATCGCTATTGAGAAAACTTATGCTATCTTTGGTTGTGCCGTCAAACTCGGAACTGCAAGTCCAAGAGACGCCTTTACCGACCGTATGGCCCGTACCCTCGCGAGCTCTCTTTATGATATTGATGTTGTTGTAAAACACCTGAAATAAAAATAAAAAAGAAATGCTAGCGACGATTAACGCAATTATTCACTTTTGGACGAAAGTGGTTGTCGGTCACCTTAAATCAGTATAAAAAAATATCAAAGTGTTTTGTTTACAGCGAGTGGCGCCATGTAGGGCTTTATGCCAACGATTACGGCGATATGTGGTATAGTTTGTGAGCTACAGATTGTGTAAATTATAAACGTGCTTGTAAGTGGACCATCTCCACCATGTGACCGTTACCTAAAAAAAGACAAGTAGAGGAGCAGATGGCTAAATAGACAAGCAGGCAGGCGATAAGACAGACGGAAAGTCGCGGTCAACACACAGACAGGGTCCTCGCTGAATTGGCTCAAGCTCTAACGTAGTCAGACATATATATATATATGTATATATACTTCATGAATTCTTTGCTGTAATTCCGTATCTTTTATGGAAAGGAAAGGTTTAATCCATTGTGTAACGATACTCTTTGATACAAGTGCTCACTACTTGGTAGATCGGAAGAATTTTTGCACAAAATTTTCCGATAGGCCAAAGATATTTTATCGAATTTTCATCGGAACATCATGTATATTTTATGCTTAAGCACTTTTTTAAGCCAATGCCGACATACGACTAACGCACATTTTCGAGACTATGTGAGGCTGTCAACTAAAAGCACAATGCTTCTATTTTTTTTCTTTTCAATTTACACGACCGAAACAGACTGAGTACAAATATTAGCGCATTGGCGCAAGACATTACTCTCGAAAGTGATCGGATGTGTCTACTCGATTTTCTAGGAAAACATATTCCAAAGAAAGGACGAAACCAAAGACACAATCATGACGCTTCACTTGCCTCATGCAGCTAGCGACAAGCGAAAAGATTGACAACTATTGATATACAGGCAGAATATTTGCAGAACGCAAAGTTGCTTAAGTCAATGGCAAGACGCTTCTGTAAATAATATGTAAATTGATTTCGTAAGAATTGTAAATTAAACCTACAAGTCAGTGATACGAACTTAATCTGAGACGAAGTTGAATAAAAAAGTGAAAGTCAGTAAAGACAGTCCAGGATACAATACTTTACAAGATATCCAACGTGTAATATCGGATTCTTATAGATAAAGTTAATTATCTATCCTTCCTTTTTCATTGTTTCCTTTGCACATCTGATTTGTTCGATACATTTCACTTACATCGGATATACAGCCACGAAAATTTGGCAAATCATTGAAAGAATCCTCAGATAGTTCACCAGGACCGCCCAGATATGTGCCAAAGTGTACATTTAATGCTGCCATTTCTGCAGGCAACGTTTTCCTTATAATTGTACCGTCTACTTGCAAAGTGATGTTGTTCTCATAACGTTGTACGGCTACGTCATGCCAATCCAAGTCATTCAATTTTTGATTTTTAGGCGAGCGCAGCTGTAAACAAATCTTGTATTTTAAATGAGTTTACTTTCTATTTTTGTGAGATTTACCTGCACTTTATTTTGATCTATTTGGTAGGTGAAGCTAATGGCGCCCATTTCTAAACGCATCAGACAATAATCATGACGTCCGGCAGCCATAAATATAAATGCATTCTCTTGCTGCGTACGAAATTTAACGCGAATATTCGTGGACATTTTAGCCTCCTGCAGTGGCATCGATATATGGCCATCGCCAAAAAATGAAACTGTAATTAAAGGAGATTTATGTACATATAACATTAGTGTTACATTGCTGCTGCATGATTCTTTGTTTTTGTTTTAGCTATAATTAGCTTGAGTTTTTCTCATTTTACTGACAAATGAAGAAGAAAAAAAAAAAAAACAAGAAAAAATTAAATATGATTTATGGTTGATTTGATTGAGATTTTGCGCTATTAGGTTGAGAGCAAAGTTTGTCTACAAAAAAGGAGGTCAGCTAACATTGTGGGAAAGTAATTGAAATGAATCGTTGTATTATAGTGATGGGGGGTTTGAAAAGAGCAATAGGTGTTGACTCTTCTTCTTCTTATTTATTCAAATTTTTAATTTGATGGAAATGTCACCCTCCATGCGATTTTGGTTTTTCTCAAAGGTAATGCCAAAGAGCTTTCGTAAAACTAAAGAGAAGAAGCGCTGAATCAATGACAGTTGCCAGAAGATGCACAAAATTTGAAAGGTTCCTTTAAAAGTAAATTACTATTGAGTTTCTTAATTAGTTGAATTTATTAGTTTTCACAGTTTCTTCCAAAAAATTACATATTGATAATACGTTCAGCTTAAATTCGGTGATTGCAGGTTCAAAAATTGCAAAACCACAAATCGGACAATCAATTATACTATGAGAGCTGCAATGCACGCAGTTTTTGGATACCCGATGTACCTATCTTAGAAATACTCGTTATGTTGTTTAGTATTCCACTGACAGCTTTCAACAGAGAACGCTCACAGCCGAACTTGTGAAAAAACTGCGAAAGCTCGTGACCCCTATACTGTACAGTCCTTCCATTCAAAAGATTTTTGTTCGAAAAATATGAAATACGAGCTAAATACTTCTTCTTCTGAAATATTGGATCCCAGAGTTTAAACGGCGCCGTAAGAACTGCCAGTTGAGATGAACACTCCACATATGGTGAGAAAAGCTAACAAAATGGTGGAGCCGGGAAAAACGTGTCGAGCCAAAAGAAGACTGTATTGAAAAATAAAATTTTAGTTATTCGGACGTGTGTGTGTGTGTGTGTATTGTCTGCTATAAGGAAGCAACTCACCCCTTATTAAACCCCTGTCATAATTCCCTATCTGGTTCTCGTGTAAGCGACATATACAATTCTATTTCGTTGCATATAAGTATATTTTATATTATATTTTATCCTCGCATATGTCTTTTATATACTCATTACATTTTTTCATATATTTACCTTACATTATTATGCATATGGTTACGTTATTATGTACGCCTTGTTCTATACACCGTCGAGTTATATTTACTCATGCATACACATATATACCTACTTTGCATATACTTGCTTACGTTTTCACATAGGCTTATGCTTATGTTTTCTTATGTTGCTTTATATGCAACTTGGTTACAAATATTGACATATATTGTTTCTATACAATTGTTTAATTTACACACTTTTATATAAACTTACTATACACTGTTTATCTACATTTAAAGTCCATTTGCTTATAAATTTCCTCGAACGAACTCGTGCGTTTAGTTATACTCCAACTATAGAAAGGAAATCGTTGCACTGCTTTTGTTGAATACCTATTCAAAATTCCTCGGATATACGTTCTCATAGGTAATGTATTTATTTATTCAAATTCTTAAACATTTTTCTTAAAGAAAAATACATTTAAAGAAATTGCTTCTGTTTAACATGATGAGGATGAGTGCGATTTGACATCTTCTGAGCACGTTTACTTGAATCTTTTACTGCCTAGCAGAGTCCTTATGCTGTCGTTGTGCAAAACTCAACCAATTTCAGGATATAACTTAACTAAGAAAATTAATTAATTACATAATGTTATTAAAGTTCATTAAGAGAAACTTTTTTACGCAACAGACCGAATGTTCTTTTGTGGATTTGTTGAATTGAGGAGGAAGAAAAAGGAGAAAAGTGGGACCATCTATGAATTATTTATTTTAATTATATTGAGTACAAATTTTTTTCATGGAGTAGAAAAAACGCCAGATGTCCAATGACAGCTTGATTAGTAAACTGCTTTGAATTTTTCTTGATGGACGTCCATACAGATCCAGGTAGATTAACGCAAAGAAATGAAAAATGCTTGTTTTCCCAGAAAATATCTGTGCCCTGCCTGAGATAACATAGCGAGATTTACCGTATGATTTATGGTGACATCGTATATCCGCAGTTTGAGCATTATTAGTAAATATTCACCAACCATTAGTTGTGCACCGCTGCGTGACCATTATCAAATTCGAGCTTATTAAAAAACTGCATGGCTTGCCTTAAAATGTAAAGTGGGTGCTGCAAAAATTGCAGTTGGCGGGTCATCTAACCAGTAAATGCCGTCAGCTGGTAAATAAGTAGCAATCGAATATCTTCCAAGAGAGGCAAAATCGAACAAAAATCTTCATGAGTGGAAAGCGGAGGGAGCGTTTTAAGAAAATGAAAATTCTAGTCTGTTGTTTGCTTTAAGGTTTGAGACAAATAAACATCAGTGAATCCTGTGGACTCACTCCCCATCGAAACTATCGTACGTCAGAGCAATACTCCTTTTGGACTTTCTCCATTAGCGTATCTAAGATGGACTTTCGTAATCATAAATGATTTTTGATGATAAAGTAACGGCTGATTCAAAACCTCAATTTGTAAAAGTCTGGCAATTATTGGAAAATTTTTGGAAAGGATTTCTTAGGGTGAACATGTATTCTTTGTTACATTCATACCGCGAGCTGCTTACGCTCAAAGCTGCGTTTAAAATATTCAAAATATCTCCTAGAAATTTAAAAATTAGAAAGGATTGACTTTGCAAATAATATATTTTGGAACAACTACCTTTATACTCCCTTTATATGGCGATTTGGAAAATTTTTGCATGAATTTTTGAACCAAACCCGTACGCTGCTTAAATGAAAATTGGGTTTTCCTGTAATTCAACAAAAGTTTGACAAGGGTTCGCTCTCTTCTAAGAACAGCGCCTACATCTTTTAGGTTTTTAATAAACTTGGCTATTTCTTCGTTAGTTACTTATTAAAAAGGATATAAGAGGTGTTATTTTTATTATGAAATGTATATCGTACTTTCGGACATTTATTTTTTTGAATACTTTTTACGTAGATGATAGATAGAGCACTTTTGGCACAAGAGTATATTAAGTTTGTGCGGATGCATGCAACATATACAAGGACTTAAGTTAGACCAACATTTTATTATACGGATCCAGCTTATCTCTTCTTTTGTCTTTCTTGCTTTCTTGCATTCATCTAACAGGCGGTCTTTGCCCAACGACAAAGGCTATTAGAAAAAATTAGGATCGGGCTATTTTTTCGCCTACTTCCCATATAGCGACGTATTTCGAAATGTCGATTTATGAACAACTGCAGAGCATTCAATAATGGTCCGTGTCCTACTATGGTTTTTTCACTTGCTTAAGTAAGTATTCACGTTAAGTTTTAGCACCATCTTGATAACGATATAATTGCTATAATAGCTACTAACAATAATTACACAACGCAGTGAAGAAGCACAGCGTTACATTATCTCACGCTGATTTGCTTAAGAGCACCGGGTCATATAGAGTTTTCATAAATTCACATGGAAAAAAAGAAGACGACGTGCTGTTTGAGATAGATATGGTAAACACAATACTTTTTTAAAAATTAACCTGTTAAATAAATACTACTTTACTCACTTTCTTACAACTGCAACCTTTATAAATGTAGAAATGGTGATGTGAATGTTTGCAAAAAAGACAAACCTCTTATGGAGAAGCTTTAAAGAAAATAAATTTAAACACTTATCGATACATGTGCAAAGAAAACAAAACGTAATCCTAAAAACAATAGACGTAAGAAAAATCTCATAAATCTCATGAGTAAATCTCTAGCTAAGCATGAAAACAATTTTTCGGTATATTTGAAAAGAGTTTCAAAGAATTTTGATACAATTTTGTTCAATTTTAAGAATTTATTTATAGCTTGATTGGGCGGGTGTATGTGTGTGGGTGCGTTTGTGCGTTTGTGCGAGCATTTATTACGCATTTAATTATGTATGAATAAAATAATAGGAGAATTTGGTTGAATGTATAAAGTTGCGATCATTCATAAAAGTAAACTAATCGCTTGAAAAAAAAGAAAAAAACAGAAAAATAGAAAAAAAAAGGAAAGTAGCATTTAGCTGCAGTAATGCTTCTTGTATGTTATTCACGCTCGCTCATCCACATGTGATATGCACCCTATTGTCTTTTTGTTATGAGATGTCTTTCCAGTGTATATGTGTACATAAGGGTGGTAACTAGGCAAGATTATAGGCAAATACAGTGGCAAGGCAACTTTACGCATCTACAGGTGGTCTCTGGTTATGTTATACTGTGGCCATGTCCTTTGACCGATTTGCCCCGTTTTGAATGCCAATCTGTGTAAACTTTCAATGTTCCTGCCGAAGTGGAAGTTTATTGCAGACTTTACAAAGCCAGAGAGTCAAACAGACAGGCGGACAAGCTTAAATAGGTTTAAAATTTGATGCTGATCAAGTATATATATACTCTATGGTGCTTCTGAGATTTGCAAGAGAGATGCAAACGTTTTGTCAAAATGAATATACCCTTTATCCTTCCCTAGTGGATATAAGAAAGGTGAGAGAGGGGTTAGGGGAATATTTCATTTGTTAGTTTTTTTACACTATTTATTAGGAAATGGTTCTAATTTTTCTCCTTTTTGTTGCTCAAAATTGAACTTTTTTCATTCAAATACTCGTCCATCTCACAAAAATCAATGTTTTTCGAAATCTTATCGTGTTTCGCCAAGAGTACACAAAGAGGTAAGGAGATTTATTGTCTGGATTTAGATTCAAATTTACACCAGTTACACTGCATGCCGTAGTATCCTTTATATTAAGGATGTCTCACGGAAGTGGATCCAGCGTTACATTTTACAAAAAAATCCTTAATTTTTCGTAATTTAAATTTCTGCCGGACAGGTTCGCGGACACTAAATAATAGGAAGATATTTTTCTTT